CTACTGCCACAATCAAGATATAGACCATTTCCATTGCCCCCACAAGTTCTCTAGTACTCCTTTCAAGTAAGCCACACCCAGCCCTAGGCAACCATGGATATGCTTTCTGCCACTACAGAGTAGGTTTGCCTGTTCTACACACCATTTATAGGAAATGATATTTATTGAACATCCTCCGAGACAGTCACTGTGGATTACCTCCCTTTATTCTCAAAATTCTAAGAAACAGCTCAGGGAGATTTAACATTCTCAAGTTCACAAAGCAAGTGTATGGCAGAATTAGATTTAAACTATTGTCTACTTCTCTCTAGAATCAGTGAGCCCTACCTGGTCTAAAGGATTGAAATCACAAATACCCCTCCAAGTTGAAGAAATTATTTCTTAAGAACCCAACACACAGGGCCAGCCCAGTGGTGTAGTGGTTAAGTTTGCACACTCTGCTGAACCCCAGGGTGGCCCAGGGTTCACAGGTTGACATCCCGGGTGTGGACCTACACGTTGCTCATCAAGCCACACTGTAGTGGCATCCCACATACAAAACAGAGGAAGACTGGCACAGATGTTAGCTCAGCAACAAATCATTCTCACCAAAAAAAAACCCCCAAAAACCAAAAAAAAAAACCCAACACAGAACTTTAAGTTTAATATTCTAACATAGCTCATTGACAGTTGGATCTGGATAAACAGTGGGTTCAGTTACATACCCAGAAACATGAAGTCATTTATGAGAAGTCTGATTTGGACTACTAATTATCATCTTCAACACTTACTTCTGAGATTAGAAGCGAGCTCTATTCTATATAACTGAACATTTTTAGTTATAACCTGCTTAAAGTCAGTGGTCCTTTCCTTTTAACAAATGTGTTAAAAATATATTTGTATTATCAAAATTTAGGAGGGAATCACTCTCCTCTTTTCTGTTTAATGGTTTGTATATATAAAATGTATTTCAAGTCACTTTTCTCTTTCAACAAAGCTTAATACAGGCAAGACATTTACCAAAGTGAGTCACTAATGGATAACTCCAAGTGTCACAAACACAGGATACTGCTAATAGGTCTTCCATCTCTGAAAGATCTTAACAGTTAATGTGAAAAGGAGAAAGATATTTAGAACTTAAATAAAAAAGACCCACATTTACCCATAAATGGGAAAGAAATATGATTTAGTCTCCTTTGGGTAAATTATAAAATTGATGTTGATGGCTTTCTTAAACAGAAAACAGTCAAATCTGTCAATACAACTTTATGTTCAAGGGCCAAAACAGCTGTTGGTTTTCCTACTAATGAATACACGATAGTGAATAAAGAAAGAATGGAATTAGATTGAAATTGAGAAGATTTTCCCAAGTCTGGAGATGACTCAACATATGGCTTTGGGCATCTAAACAATGATGACATTCCAAGAAAATACACCTTCTGCATAGTGCCAAAGTGAAATACTAAATTAGCTTAATTATCTTCATATCTTTATAAAATGAAGGCCAGAATGTTCTTCAAGATAACTTTTTAAAAATGGAAGTGAACAAGCAAAGAGAGGTTAGGCAATTTGCTTAAAGCTTCAAGAGGAGACATGGGACGAGCCAGTGTTTGAACCAGGTCCTTCACAGTGCACAATGTTCTTTTTACTTGCCAAAGAGGAGGGTGTCTGGGAGTCCAGCACAGCTTCAACAAAAAAATATAAAATGACTAATGATGTTGCTAATTAAGTTAAAAGTGAGGGAAAAACTTAAGGCTTAAGGAAATTAGAATTGCCAGTGGAAGTTACTGGGGAGATTTTTTTTTAAAAATGCATACCTAATGCATCTCCTAAAGGTTTACCTTTGGTTGTTTTACTTCACCAGCATAATATTCATTACAGAAGACCACGGTACATGAATATGTGTAGCTCTATTAATCTGAAGTAACCTCCAAGGTCCAGAGCAAAGTGATTTGTTACTTTGCTGAGGCAGGAGTTAGAGTCCCAAGGATGAAGTCTGGGAGCAAATCATTTAACCAATGAGTGAACCTAGCCAACCCCTGAGCACTTTGTTATTCTTATTTAATTTTTAGAAAAATCCTGTGTGGTATTTCTGTCCCTATTTAATAGATGTGAGAATGAAATTATATTCTATGATGGCAATAATGATGATAGAACGTATTCTGTAAAGAATGACAAGACTCTACCATACATTTCTAGCCTAATAAAATACTACTCAAGAGTCAAAATTTAAGAAACTTCCCAAATTATCTCAACTCCTCCCTCTAGGGAATAACATCCTGCATTCACATGTGATCGCATTCTCCTTTGATAGACAATTTCCCTAGCTGAAGTGATGTTATTTTAAAAAAGAGACAAATAAAGGTATACAAATTTTCATCATCAGGCAAAAAGTAAGCATCTTCTCAAGCGGCTTAGCTTATTGCAGTCACTGCTGCATGTATTATTTTTTATTTTTATTTTTTAAAGATTTTTTTTTTTCTCCCCAAAGTCCCCCGGTACATAGTTGTATATTCTTCACTGTGGGTCCTTCTAGTTGTGGCATGTGGGACGCTGCCTCAGCGTGGTTTGATGAGCAGTGCCATGTCCACGCCCAGGATTCAAACCAACGAAACACTGGGCCGCCTGCAGCGGAGCGCACGAACTTAACCACTCGGCCACGGGGCCAGCCCCTGCAAGTATTATTAAGTCTTTTCAATTTCTAGTGAGTGATATACACCATTACTGTCCATTTACCAAATGAGAATAACACAGGTAGTTTCGTCTAACGGAAGGCATGAAAAACTGGGAAAGAGGTGGCTCAACTTTTTGATGCTTCAGTGTCTTCACTAACCAGATATTCTAGTGAGTGAGTGGTACAAAGGAATTTGTCAGAATTTCTGTGTGGTCCAAACAGTGGATGAAAGCACATCTAAAAGCTCAAACTTTAAATAAATGTTAAGGCATTGTAAATTTAATTGACGAAAACATGTATTGAGTACTTGTTATAAGTAATGAACCACAGCTTTAATGGCTGTTCAAGAGACGCATTAGGGAGCAACTGAAAATAAAAGGAATTGACTAGGTATAGAGTTTGGGGAGGCACAGGGAAAAGGATAATTTGATATCAAAGCCTGAAGACACAGCCAGATTTTGAGAGATGGACAAACCAACCTTAGAAGAATCCTTTGTTTAACCTGCTCCTCCCCTACGAGTAGGAAGCTTATCTTCTGACTTGTTTCTTCTCAAATTACATGTGTAATTTAGGAGAAGAAATAAAAAAGCTGGGGAAATTGCAATCATCTAATTGAGAGATATAAAAGGTACCTTTCCACTTTGAATAGTTACAAACACTCAGCAACATGGTGACAGGAGGCAGAGATGCCACTGGCCTTGGAAATAACAATGTTTTCTATAGCCTAGTCACAGTCAGCTCATTTTTTCACTTTTTTTTTTCCTGCTTCTTCTCCCCAAATCCCTCCAGTACATAGTTGTATATTTTTTAGTTGTGGGTCCTTCTAGTTGTGACATGTGGGACACCGCCTCAGCGCGGCCCGATGAGCCGTGCCATGTCCGTGCCCAGAATCCAAACCAGCAAAACCCTGGGGCACCGAAGTGGAGCGCGCGAACTTAACCTCTTGAGCATGGGGCCGGCCTCATCTTTTCACTTTTTATATTTAAAGTTAAGGCAATGTTTTGGTCCTCTATTTAGTACTTACATCATTTTGGCTGGTAATGCAATTTCAATATATTACTCTCTCCTTAAGCCACTTCACCAAAGTGAAACAGAAAAATTGGGATGGGCATTCAGAACAGTGTGCTCAAATCATATGATCCCATTTTCCCATTATGGCTATGTGCTCCCATTATGGCTATATTTGCTCAGCAAAGTATTTGAGCCCTTACTTTGTGCCAGGAACTGTCCTAGCACTGGGGTAACCATGTGAACACGACACACATGACCCCTGTCCCTGCCCTCAAGAGGGAGACAACAGACAAATGTATACAAAAATTACAAACTGAAATCAACTCTGTAAAGGGTACTCTAACAGAGAGAAGCTGGGGGTTACAGAAGTACTTTAAGTAGGGTGGTCAGGGAAGGCCACTCTAGGGAGATTCAGGCAGAGACTTGTGGGAAGAGGAGCCAGTTACATCCACATGCCGTGTGTGAGTGTGAGTGTGTGTGTGTGTGTGTGTGTAAGTGGGGGGGGGGGTGGTGGTAAGAGGAGCATTCTAAGAACAGAGATCAGAAATTGCACCTTGGATTGGAAAAGCGCAGGTGGAAGGGATGGAACGGCGGCCACTGTAGCTGGAGCCTACAGAGCAAGTGACATAAGACGAGACTAAACATGAGTAAGGACCGCATCGCACAGGGAGTGCCTTGTAGGCCACGGCAAGAAGTCTGGATTTTATCTAAATGCAACGGGAAGCCATAGGATGACTTCAGACAGGTGAGTTACATGATCCGTTTTTCTTGTTAAAAGATGACGCTGGTAAAATGAGATGTGAGAAAAAAGGTTTTAAGCGCAGAGAACCATAAGTCAGACGTAATCATTATTCACTTTCCACGTCTCATATTTTCCCCCCGTAGCGCAAGCTGTTCGAGCTAGAAGCCATCTCCCTCCCGCTGCGATGTGCCCAGACAGTGAGTTCCGCGAGCACGGCAGTGTCAGATGGACCACGGCGCTCCCCTCATCCCTGCCCGCGCCCAGCACGCACCCGGCGCGCGGAAACTGTCGGTCAGCGCAAAGAATCAATGAATGGCCTGTCCGGGCGGCGGGAGAGGCGCTCTGGGCGCCGCACCAGGCCCCGGGGCCGGGAAAGGGCGCGATACGCGGCGCGAGAGGCCGCGAGCGCCGGCCGGTGAGGCAAGTGGGGGCCGGCTCCACCGCAGGCCAGCGCGGCGAGGAGGCGACGGGGCTTCACGGGTGGAGGACAGGAGGAGCAGGACTCCGAGCCCGACACAGAGAGCCAGGAGAGAAGGCCGAGGCGCAGGGCCGAGGAGGGGTTCTGGGCCCAGGCCGGGCGGCCCAGCCACTTACCGCAGCCGTCGCCAGGCTGTGCATGTTGGGAGCGGCCGCCGCTCTCCTCCCACTGCCGGACGCGCCGGACCCGCGTCCCCGCTTCAGCGCCTCTGCCGCCGAAGATGATGAGCCGCCTCAGCCGCCATCCGCCTCCGGCTCGCTCCGCCCCCTTTGCAGCCCTCTGACCTTTCACCCCTGACCCCGCCCACACAACTTCTTCCCACCTCCTAGCTCTCGGCGGAATTAACAGTCTCAGCGTATATCCTTTGCCCCTTAAAATTCAGGACCGGAAGGACATCCGCCACCCACTAGTTCCCGCATCCCCCGGCTTCGAGCAGGTATCCCCAGAGAGGGGCGTGAACTCTGACCCTCCTCCGGAGGCCAGTACAAGGCGGGAAAAGCCCAGCAGTCCTGAGAGGACAAGTTGTGCGCATGCCCAACTGGGCTGAGTAGGAGGGAAATGGTGGGAGGCTCAAAGTGGGCGAAGTGTACAGTGCGCATGCGTACTACAGTCGGAGCAGGGGCGGAGCTGCCTCAGCGAGACTACGCTCGGTGCTGGGGCGGGGCGAGGGCGTGGGAGGGGCGGAGTTTGCAGGCTTGCGCGCACGCGCCCCGTCTGGTCGCGTCGAGAGTGCGTGCGTGCGTGCGTGTTTGCGTGTGGTCACAGTTCCCGCCATCAGCCGCTCTCCCAGACTGGGAGGGAGCGAGCGGTCCCTCTCCTTGGTGCCCGGTGTCCCTTCCTTCCTTGCCCCCGGCTCCTCCCCCTCCGCGCGGACTCCGTGCTTCCGGCGGGCCTGTCCCGGGCTCCTGACTCTCGGGCACAGGTAAGGCGGACCCGGCGAGCTTCTCAACGGAGCCGTTTTCCCCCGGCCC